TTACGAGACACTAGTTATGAGGCACTAGTTATGAGATACTAGTTATGAGACACTAGTTATGAGACACTAGTTACGTGATACTAGTTATGAAACACTAGTTATGAGACACTAGTTATGAGACACTGGATGTGAGACACTGGATGTGAGACACTAGTTATGAGACTAGTTATGAGACACTAGTTATGAGGCACTAGTTATGAGATACTAGTTATGAGACACTAGTTATGAGACACTAGTTATGAGATACTAGTTATGAGACACTACTTATGAGACACTAGTTATGAGACACTAGTTGTGAGACACTAGCTATGAGACACTGGATGTGAGACACTAGTTACGAGACACTAGTTATGAGGCACTAGTTATGAGATACTAGTTATGAGACACTAGTTATGAGACACTAGTTACGTGATACTAGTTATGAAACACTAGTTATGAGACACTAGTTATGAGACACTGGATGTGAGACACTGGATGTGAGGCACTAGTTATGAGACTAGTTATGAGACACTAGTTATGAGGCACTAGTTATGAGATACTAGTTATGAGACACTAGTTATGAGACACTAGTTATGAGATACTAGTTATGAGACACTACTTATGAGACACTAGTTATGAGACACTAGTTATGAGACACTAGTTATGAGACTAGTTATGAGGCACTAGTTATGAGACACTAGTTATGAGACACTAGTTATGAGACACTAGTTATGAGACACTAGTTATGAGACACTAGTTATGAGACACTAGTTATGAGACACTAGTTATGAGACACTAGTTATGAGACACTAGTTATGAGGCACTAGTTATGAGACACTAGTTATGAGACTAGTTATGAGACACTAGTTATGAGACACTAGTTATGAGACACTAGTTATAAGATACTAGTTATGAGACACTAGTTATGAGACACTAGTTATGAGACACTAGTTATGAGACACTAGTTATGAGACTCTAGTTATGAGACACTAGTTATGAGGCACTAGTTATGAGACACTAGTTATGAGACACTAGTTATGAGGCACTAGTTATGAGACACTAGTTATGAGACATTAGTTATGAGACACTAGTTATAGTAGGACACTAGTTATGAGGACTAGTTATGAGATACTAGTTATGAGACACTAGTTATGAGACACTAGTTATGAGACACTAGTTATGAGACTAGTTATGAAACACTAGTTATGAGACACTAGTTATGAGACTTGTTATGAGACACTAGTTATGAGACACTAGTTATGAGACACTAGTTATGAGACACTAGTTATGAGACACTAGTTATGAGACACTAGTTATGAGACTAGTTATGAGACACTAGTTATGAGACACTAGTTATGAGACACTAGTTATGAGACACTAGTTATGAGACTAGTTATTAGACACTAGTTATGAGACTAGTTATGAGACACTAGTTATGAGACACTAGTTATGAGATACTAGTTATGAGGCACTAGTTATGAGATACTAGTTATGAGACAATAGTTATGAGACACTAGTTGTGAGACACTAGCTATGAGACACTGGATGTGAGACACTAGTTACGAGACAGTAGTTATGAGGCACTAGTTATGGGATACTAGCTATGAGACACTAGTTATGAGACACTAGTTATGTGATACTAGTTATGAAACACTAGTTATGAGACACTAGTTATGAGACACTGGATGTGAGACACTGGATGTGAGACACTAGTTATGAGACTAGTTATGAGACACTAGTTATGAGGCACTAGTTATGAGATACTAGTTATGAGACACTAGTTATGAGACACTAGTTATGAGATACTAGTTATGAGACACTACTTATGAGACACTAGTTATGAGACACTAGTTATGAGACACTAGTTATGAGACACTAGTTATGAGGCACTAGTTATGAGACACTAGTTATGAGACACTAGTTATGAGACACTAGTTATGAGACACTAGTTATGAGACACTAGTTATGAGACACTAGTTATGAGACACTAGTTATGAGACACTAGTTATGAGACACTAGTTATAAGATACTAGTTATGAGACACTAGTTATGAGACACTAGTTATGAGACACTAGTTATGAGACACTAGTTATGAGACTCTAGTTATGAGACACTAGTTATGAGGCACTAGTTATGAGACACTAGTTATGAGACACTAGTTATGAGGCACTAGTTATGAGACACTAGTTATGAGACACTAGTTATGAGACTAGTTATGAGATACTAGTTATGAGACACTAGTTATGAGACACTAGTTATGAGACACTAGTTATGAGACTAGTTATGAGAAACTAGTTATGAGACACTAGTTATGAGACTAGTTTGAGACACTAGTTATGAGACTAGTTATGAGACACTAGTTATGAGACACTAGTTATGAGACACTAGTTATGAGACACTAGTTATGAGACACCAGTTATGAGACACTAGTTATGAGACACTAGTTATGAGACTAATTATGAGACACTAGTTATGAGACACTAGTTATGAGACACTAGTTATGAGACACTAGTTATGAGACTAGTTTTGAGACACTAGTTATGAGACACTAGTTATGAGACACTAGTTATGAGACTAGTTATGAGACACTAGTTATGAGACACTAGTTATGAGACACTAGTTATGAGACACTAGTTATGAGACTAGTTATGAGACACTAGTTATGAGACAGTAGTTATGAGACACTAGTTATGAGACACTAGTTATGAGACTATGAGACACTAGTTATGAGACACTAGTTATGAGACACTAGTTATGAGACACTAGTTATGAGACACTAGTTATGAGACACTAGTTATGAGACTAGTTATGAGACACTAGTTATGAGACACTAGTTATGAGACACTAGTTATGAGACACTAGTTATGAGACACTAGTTATGAGACACTAGTTATGAGACACTAGTTATGAGACTAGTTATGAGACACTAGTTATGAGACACTAGTTATGAGACACTAGTTATGAGACAAGTTATGAGACACTAGTTATGAGACACTAGTTATGAGACACTAGTTATGAGACACTAGTTATGAGACACTAGTTATGAGACTAGTTTTGAGACACTAGTTATGAGACACTAGTTATGAGACACTAGTTATGAGACACTAGTTATGAGACACTAGTTATGAGACACTAGTTATGAGACACTAGTTATGAGACACTAGTTATGAGACACTAGTTATGAGACTAGTTATGAGACACTAGTTATGAGACAGTAGTTATGAGACACTAGTTATGAGACACTAGTTATGAGACTATGAGACACTAGTTATGAGACACTAGTTATGAGACACTAGTTATGAGACACTAGTTATGAGACACTAGTTATGAGACACTAGTTATGAGACACTAGTTATGAGACACTAGTTATGAGACACTAGTTATGAGAACTAGTTATGAGACACTAGTTATGAGACCTAGTTATGAGACACTAGTTATGAGACACTAGTTATGAGACACTAGTTATGAGACACTAGTTATGAGACATAGTTATGAGACTAGTTATGAGACACTAGTTATGAGACACTAGTTATGAGACACTAGTTATGAGACACTAGTTATGAGACACTAGTTATGAGACATAGTTATGAGACACTAGTTATGAGACACTAGTTATGAGACTAGTTATGAGACATAGGTTATGAGACACTAGTTATGAGACTAGTTATGAGACACTAGTTATGAGACATAGTTATGAGACACAGTTATGAGACACTAGTTATGAGACACTAGTTATGAGACACTAGTTATGAGACTAGTTATGAGACACTAGTTATGTGACATAGTTATGAGTCACTAGTTATGAGACCTAGTTATGAGACACTAGTTATGAGACACTAGTTATGAGACACTAGTTATGAGACTAGTATGAGACACTAGTTATGAGACACTAGTTATGAGACACTAGTTATGAGACACTAGTTATGAGACCTAGTTATGAGGCACTAGTTATGAGGACACTAGTTATGAGACACTAGTTATGAGACACTAGTTATGAGACACTAGTTATGAGACACTAGTTATGAGACACTAGTTATGAGACACTAGTTATGAGACACTAGTTATGAGACACTAGTTATGAGACACTAGTTATGAGACACTAGTTATGAGACACTAGTTATGAGACACTAGTTATGAGACTCCTAGTTATGAGACACTAGTTATGAGACACTAGTATGAGACACTAGTTATGGACACTAGTTATGAGACTCTAGTTATGAGACACTAGTTATGAGACACTAGTTATGAGGCACTAGTTATGAGACACTAGTTATGAGACACTAGTTATGAGACACTAGTTGTGAGACACTAGTTATAAGACACTAGTTATGAGACACTAGTTATGAGACACTAGTTATGAGACACTGGTTATGAGACACTAGTTATGAGACACTAGTTATGAGACACTAGTTATGAGACACTAGTTATGAGACACTAGTTATGAGACACTTGTTATGAGACACTAGTTATAAGACACTAGTTATGAGACACTACTTATGAGACACTAGTTATGAGACACTAGTTATGAGACACTGGTTATGAGACACTAGTTATGAGACACTAGTTATGAGACACTGGTTATGAGACACTAGTTATGAGACACTAGTTATGAGACACTAGTTATGAGACACTAGTTATGAGACACTAGTTATGAAACACTAGTTATGAGACACTAGTTATGAGACACTAGTTATGAAACACTAGTTATGAGACACTAGTTATGAGACACTAGTTATGAGGCACTAGTTATGAGGCACTAGTTATGAGACACTAGTTATGAGACACTAGTTATGAGACACTAGTTATGAAACACTAGTTATGAGACACTAGTTATGAGACACTAGTTATGAGGCACTAGTTATGAGGCACTAGTTATGAGACACTAGTTATGAGACACTAGTTATGAAACACTAGTTATGAGACACTAGTTATGAGACACTAGTTATGAGACACTAGTTATGAGACACTGTACTGATGAAAGTGTTGAATGTTTGACTGAGGTGGTGTTGTTATTGTTGCAGGTGATCTGGGTATGCATCCTGTGCCGGAAGAAGCAGGAACTGTTGATCAAGACTGGCACATGGATGAACACGGGATTGTCACAGCACGGCGAGATGATGCAGCTGGAGCACGACTTCTCAGGTACGGCCGGCACGCCCGCCACGCCCACCCAAGACAAGCGTCCCAAGCTGGAGTACGGCGGTCAGGAGCCGCAGCCAGCTAGCGTCCAGGGGTCCGCGGCCTCACCAGCGTCAGGGCCCCACCAGGGCCACCAAGCAGGGCCCCACCACCACCACTACCAGGGGGACCAGGCGCAACACCACGCCACCTTAGAGGCGCGGCCGCTGTTGCAGCGCACCGGCAGCGCCCAGGGCCGCGAGCTGCGCCGGCAGTACTCTCAGGAACGCGCTGGGGGTGAAGGTGGGCGGCGAGGGCGGACGGCTAGTGAGGGCGGCTACGCCGCCCTCACCTCACGCCCGCGATCGCCCTCTGCCGCCCCCTGAGGCCTTCCGCACCTACGACCACCCGGGAGCGTACGACCAGCGCCCCGACATCCGGGTGGAGCGGGGTTACGGGGGGGTGGCTGCCGGGGGCAGCAGCCCCATGGAGGGCAGCAGCCCCGGGGCGGCCTCCGTGGAGGGTAGCAGCCCTCACCCTGACGACCCCCGCCGCACCCACCTGGACCCAGCCGCGGCCCTGGGGCGCTCCCGCGGTCGTCGCCGCAACGACCCGCTCACCAGGAACGACTCGCTGTCGTCCGACCAGAGCGAGTGCGTGCGTCCGCCGCCACCCAAGCCGCACAAACAGCGCACGAGGGAGCGCAAGCAGCAGCAGCAGCAGCAGCGGCAGCAGCAGCAGCAGCAGCAGCGCTCGCCCTCATCCTCCGAGGAGGAGGTACGCTCTACCCCCGACTGTACCTCATGCGAGGAACACGAGGCCGAGAGCGAGACCGTCTCGGAGAAGGGTGAGTACTACCACCCCCCCTCCTAATGTACTACCACCCCCACCCCCTTTCATGTACTGTCTTCCTCCAATAACCTCAACAGTGCCACACATGACTGTTTACACCCTTATATGTAGCCCTCTACTGTGACTAGCACCAACTTCATCAGTAACAAACGGGAGTGCTTACACCCTTATATATAGTCCTCTACTGTGACTATCACCAACTTCATCAGTAACACATATGACTGCTTACACCCTTATATGTAGCCCTCGACTGTGACTAGCACCCTTCATGTAGCCTGTGGGTCTCTCACTGACCTAATAAGTAGCGCACATCAGCACTCATACCCTTAATGTAGTCCCTAACTACCTATTGCTATATGGCCATTACTGTCAATATTTACCTCATACACAACACACACACACACACACACACACACACACACACACACACACACACACACACACACACACACACACACACACACACAGCCATCACATTACACACAAATTCTTCAGTCTTCAAGCCTTGCCACTGTGATTCACACTTTCGTTCTCTTTACACCGCTTCCTGTTAACTATTGCAAGCCATTATAACCATTGGTTATATCGCCCTTCAGTTGAAACCTCAAAAAAAAACAAAAAAAAAACAGATATATTGTTTTTCAATAAGATTTTAGTACAGTCACGGGGGTAATCTGGAACCATTGCTAATACGATCATTCCAGGGGACGCTCTTAGTCCCAGCGTGTCAGTAAGACCCAGTGGGTCTCTGGCTTGGCCAGCTTGACGCAGTATCCAGAACACGCTTTTATAACGACAACGTTTCGCCCAGACGAGAATTTTACCCTGACCAAAATGTGTCGGTATTACACCTATACATCCAGGCTTCTGTCTCACCATTCTCACTACATTTCTCCAAGTTTAATCTCCCTACAATGACGAATATATATATATATATATATATATATATATATATATATATATATATATATATATATTATATTAATTATATATATATATTGACGAATCGGTAAAATTTTGTCAATTAGGAAAAACTCATTAAAATTAAGTCTTTTCTAGAATGTTCTCTTATACGTTTAAAGATATATTTTTTCATTTATGTTAATGTAAAAAATAAAAATTTTCTACCAAAAGCACCTTAGAAAACTTACCTGACTTTATTATAACAAGCGCAATTTAATTTAGCCTTATCCAACTAAATATATTTTAGATAAGTTTACAGTAATTTAATAAAAAACAGACACAATGAAATATATTTTTTTTCGTTAGGTTCAAAATGATTTTTCCGAACTTGATCCGGAGATTGGAATCGCGTGCCTGCATCTGAAGAGGGTTGTTAAAGTTGCAGTTTAAAAAACTGTAGTGTAAGCACTTCGGCAGACATGATGAGTGAATGTGCAAAGTTTTCTTTTTCGGCCTCCTGCCTTGGTGGAATCGGCGTTGATAATATAATAAAAACCAAATTTTCCGCTTGTATTCGCAAGAAGAGACGTGTTTAGCACAAATAGCAACGTTTACTTATTCGGCACGACATATATATGACCCTTGCCTATTCTTCATTTTCTCTCTCTATCTCTCTCTACATTACCTATCTCCACATTCGCCCCGTCCGTCGTCTCTAACACCATAAGACGAGCAGCTGGCAGTGCCGCTGGCGGTATTGCTGTTGGTGGTGCTGTCTCTGAGCTATTGGTGGTGGTGATCGTGATTGTGGTGGGGGGTGTGGTGGTGCTTGTAATGGTGATTGCGGCGGTGGTGGTGGCGGTGGTGGTGGCGGTGGCGGTGGGGGTGTGGTGGTGGTGGTGGTGGTGGTGGTGGTGGTGGTGGTGGTGGTGGTGGTGGTGGTGGTGGCGGTGGTGGCGGTGGCGGTGGTGGTGGCGGTGGTGGTGGCGGTGGGTGGTGGTGGGGTGGTGGTGGTGGTGGCGGTGGTGGTGGCGGTGGCGGTGGCGTGGCGTTGGCGGTGGCGGTGGTGGTGGCGGTGGTTGGGTTGGTACTCCTGGTGGTGGTGTTTGTACTGACGGTACTTGTGCCATATCTTCGAACTGGTGGTGGTGTTGGGGAGGTGGTGGTGGTGGTGGTGTGGTGGTGGTGGTGGTGGTGGTGGTGTGGTGGTGGTGGTGGTGGTGGTGGTGATGGTGGTGGTGCTATTAATGCTGCTGCTGACTGTGCTAGTAGTGTATATTTTTGGCGCTGGTACTGCTGTGGTGGTGCTGCTGGGAGTTTTACCTATGGTGGATGTGGTGATAGTTGTGGTGGTGATAGTTGTGGTGGTGATAGTTGTGGTGGTGATAGTTGTGGTGGTGGTAGTTGTGTTGGTGATAGTTGTGGTGATGGTAGTTGTGGTGGTGATAGTTGTGGTGGTGGTAGTTGTGGTGGTGATAGTTGTGGTGGTGGTAGTTGTGGTGGTGATAGTTGTGGTGGTGGTAGTTGTGTTGGTGATAGTTGTGGTGATGGTAGTTGTGGTGGTGATAGTTGTGGTGGTGGTAGTTGTGGTGGTGGTAGTTGTGTTGGTGATAGTTGTGGTGATGGTAGTTGTGGTGGTGATAGTTGTGGTGGTGGTAGTTGTGGTGGTGGTAGTTGTGGTGGGGGTAGTTATGGTGGTGATAGTTGTGGTGGTGGTAGTTGTGGTGGTGGTAGTTGTGGTGGTGGTGGTAGTTGTGGTGGTGATGGTTGTCGTGGTGGTAGTTGTGGTGGTGGTGGTAGTTGTGGTGGTGGTGGTAGTTGTGGTGGTGGTAGTAGTTGTGGTGGTGGTAGTTGTGGTGGTGGTAGTTGTGGTGGTGGTAGTTGTGGTGGTGATAGTTGTGGTGGTGGTAGTTGTGGTGGTGGTAGTTGTGGTGGTGGTAGTTGTGGCAGTGGTAGTTGTGGTGGTGGCAGTTGTGGCGGTGGTAGTTGTGGTGGTAGTTGTGGTGGTAGTTGTGGTGGTGGTATTTGTGGTGGTGGTAGTTGGTGGTGGTGGTAGTTGTGGTGGTGGTATTTGTGGTGGTGGTAGTTGTGGTGGTGGTAGTTGTGTGGTGGTAGTTGTGGTGGTGATAGTTATGGTGGTAGTTATGGCGGTGGTAGTTGTGGCGGTGGTAGTTTTGTGGCGGTGGTAGTTGTGGTGGTGGTAGTTGTGGCGGTGGTAGTTGTGGCGGTGGTAGTTGTGGCGGTGGTAGTTGTGGCGGTGGTAGTTTGTGGCGGTGGTAGTTGTGGTGGTGGTAGTTGTGGCGGTGGTAGTTGTAGTGGTGGTAGTTGTGGCGGTGGTAGTTGTGGCGGTGGTAGTTGTGGCGGTGGTAGTTGTGGCAGTGGTAGTTGTGGTGATGATATTTGTGGTGGTGGTAGTTGTGGTGGTGGTAGTTGTGACGGTGGCAGTTGTGGTGGTGGTAGTTGTGGCGGTGGTAGTTGTGGTGATGATAGTTGTGGTGGTAGCAGTTGTGGTGGTGGTAGTTGTGACGGTGGCAGTTGTGGTGGTGGTAGTTGTGGTGGTGGTAGTTGTGGTGGTGGTAGTTGTGGTGGTGGTAGTTGTGACGGTGGTAGTTGTGGTGGTGGTAGTTGTGGCGGTGGTAGTTGTGGTGGTGGTAGTTGTGGTGGTGGTAGTTGTGGTGGTGGTAGTTGTGACGGTGGCAGTTGTGGTGGTGGTAGTTGTGGTGGTGGTAGTTGTGGTGTGGTAGTTGTGACGGTGGCAGCTGTGGTGGTGGTAGTTGTGGTGGTGGTAGTTGTGGTGGTGGTAGTTGTGGTGGTGGTAGTTGTGGTGGGGGTTTAGTTGTAGTGGTGGTAGTTGTGGTGGTGGTAGTTGTGGTGATGATAGTTGTGGTGGTAGCAGTTGTGGTGGTGGTAGTTGTGACGGTGGCAGTTGTGGTGGTGGTAGTTGTGGCGGTGGTAGTTGTGGTGGTGGTAGTTGTGGTGGTGGTAGTTGTGGTGGTGGTAGTGTGGTGGTGGTAGTTGTGGCGGTGGTAGTTGTGGTGGTGGTAGTTGTGGTGGTGGTAGTTGTGGTGGTGGTAGTTGTGACGGTGGCAGTTGTGGTGGTGGTAGTTGTGGTGGTGGTAGTTGTGACGGTGGCAGCTGTGGTGGTGGTAGTTGTGGTGGTGGTAGTTGTGGTGGTGGTAGTTGTGGTGGTGGTAGTTGTGGTGGTGGTAGTTGTGGTGGTGGTAGTGTTGGTAGTGATTTTGCTGTTTTGCTGGTTATAGTGACGGTTC